GCTAGTCGCCCAGGGCGGAGTGCAGGGGCCAGATCTCGGCTCACTTGCAGCCGCCGCCTCCGGGTTTACCGCCATTCCCCTAGCCTTCTGAAGCTGGACTACAGGGGGTCCCGCCACCTCGCCCAGTAGGTTTTTGGTTGTATGTTAGTTAGGGACGGGGTTTCACCATGTAGCCCAGGATGGGTCCTGCGATCTCCGACCTTGTATCCGCCCGTCTGGGCCTCCCCCAAATTCTGGATTACAGGCTGAAGCCCACCACGCTCGGGCCAAGTTCCCTTTTCCCCACAACCTCCACTTGGGATTGTTATCGACGTTTTGTTTTTTTTATTATTGACCACTGGATCTCGCCTTGTCACCCAGGCTGAGTGCAGTAGACAATCTCGGCTCACTGCAACCGTCCGCCTCCTGGTTCAAGCGATTCTCCGCTCAGCCTCTTGAGTAGGCTGGGGATTACATGGCAGCCAACCAACCACCCAAGGTTAATTTGTTATTGTTAGCAGAGACGCAGTTCGCCATGGGGCCAGGTGGCTAAACGACCTCAGTAATCGCCCGTCTCCACTGCAGAGTGCGGATTACAGGTTGAGCACCTGCACCCATTCTGATTTTGTACATAAGAGCCATTCTGACTTGGTGAGAATGTAGTCTCATATGGTTTGACTGCATTCTTTGTTTCTTTTCTTTCTTTTTTTGAGCTTGCAGTGAGCTGAGATCTGGCCACTGCACTCCAGCCTGGGCGACAGAGCGAGACTCCGTCTCCAAAAAAAAAAGAGAAAAAGGGACACTTATACAGTGTCTGTGGGAGTGTAAATTAGTTTAACCATTGTGGAAGACAGTGTGGTGATTCCTCAAAGACCGAAAGACAGAAATACCATTGAACCCAGCAATCCCGTTACTGGCTATCTCCCCGAAGGAACAGAAATTGTTGTAACATGAAGACACACACACGTGAATGTTCATTGCAGCACTATTCACAATAGCAAAGACATGGAATCAACCTAAATGCCCATCAGTGACAGATTGTCTAAAGAAAATGTGGTACATATACACCATGGAATACTATGCAGCCATAAAAAATAATGAGACCGTGTCCTTTGCAGGAACATGACTGGAGCTGGAGGACATTATCCTTAGCAAACTAATGCAGGAACAGAAACCAAATACTGCATGTTCTCACTTGTAAGTGGAACCTGAATGATGAGAACACATGGACGCATAGAAAGGAAGATAAACACACTGGGGCCCATCAGAGGGTAGAGGGTGGGAGGAAGGAGAGGATCAGGAAAAATAACAAATGGGTACTAGGCTTAATACCTGCGTGATGAAATAATCTACAACCAATCCCCCATGACACAAGTTTACCTGTGTAATAAACCTGCACGTGTACCCCAAACTTAAAAGTGATGTTTTAAAAAAAAACCCTGGTTGGCCGGACGCGGTGGCCTGTAATCCCAGCATTTTGGGAGGCTGAGGTGGGTGGATCACAAGGTCAGGAGTTCGAGACCATCCTGGCTAACATGGTGAAACCCCGTCTCTACTAAAAATACAAAAAATTAGCCGGGTGTGGTGGCGGGCGCCTGAAGCCCAGCTACTCGGGAGGCTGAGGCAGGAGAATGGCGTGAGCCTGGGAGGCGGAGCTTGCAGTGAGCTGAGATCCGGCCACTGCACTCCAGCCTGGGTGACAGAGCGAGACTCCGTCTCAAAAAAAAAAAAGAAGAAAAGTCCTGGCCATGCCTTACAGTGGCTGAGGAACCCTCAGAACTTGCCTAAGCTTCCCCACAGGCACAGCAGAGGCCATGTCCCCACCACCGAGGTTATGGGGACCTCATGGACAGTAGACCTTCTATCAGTGGCATCCTTCGCACTCCACCCTTCCCAGTCTTAGTGGTGCTCGTATGGCTCTTGCTGCAGCAGGGCCCGCTGTCAGAGGGCTGGCTCTCCCGGAGCCTCTGCACCCCTCTGGGCCTCTGCTGAGCTTCTTCCCTCCCCAACTGCTTCTTTGCCTCCTCTTCCTCGAGCCCCATGGTCCCCAAAGTTGTGACTGGGCACCTCCTGTCCTGCCTGCCAGGGCCCCGGCTCCTCTCCCGGCCACCCACCCTTCATCCCTAATCACCAAACCCATCAGAAGAACCTTCCCCATAGCTTCTTCCTTTCCTTGCCCCCAGTGTACCTCCCCCTGCCCCCAGCCCAGGTTGCCTCAAACAGGACCTCTGAGACCCTTCTCCAAGAAGCCTGGTAGACCAGCCCACCTGGAGGGACGTTCCTTCTTGTTCTTTTGTGGTCCTTATCCACTGTAAACACTGACTTTCCAGGGCCGCTGCAATCCCTTGGATTGGGCCCTTCTTGTCCTGCTGGGACGCGGGCGGAGAACCATCCAGGAATACCAGGTCCAGGTACCTGTGCTCTTGGATGTGTTTTCAGAGAGCAGCAGCCCTGGAATGGATGGTGGGAGGGGCCTGGGCCCTGCCAGCCATCCCACTGTACAGATGGAGAAACAGAGGCACAGGGGGAAGAGATCCAGCCAGGTCCCCACGCCCAGCAGCTGTTCCTGTCTGCAGGGCATCAGGGTTTCCGTCCTACGGCTTCCTTCGCAGCACCTGCCATGCCAGGCAGGCCCTGCCCACGTCGAGGAGGGTGGGTCAGCAAGACCAGCGCTGCCACTGAAGTTCGCTGTCCCATGAGGGGCTGAACAAAGAAGCAAGAAGAGCTCCAGGAAAAAGACAGCCCAGCAGGGCAGGCGGCTTCTTGGCCCCAAACCAGAGGAGACTCCTCCTCGCCAGCCTATAAACTAATTAATTGGTTTTTTTTTTGTTTTTTTTTTTTTGGTAAAGCACAGTGAGTGACCAGGACTCCAGGAGACACACGGCGCTAAAAAGGCCTTTTCAGACCAGTAGCTTTCATTGCTAGGCCAGACAATACCCAGTGACCATCAGATATGACTGCACTGGCTTTTCAGCTTCAGCTGACAGACCGTTTTCTATAAACTGCTCTGAAAACCCCAAACCATGACCTTCTCTCCACCCATTTCTCTCCCACCACCATTGCAGGAGAAGCCCGCAGGAGAGGTGCCGTGGGAGCAGCACAGCAGGTGACCGCGTCCTCTCTTCTCTGGTAGACATGGTGGAGTGGTACGTGCACCGACATTTCTCACATCCTGGAGGAAGCTGCGAACATTCTGAGGACTACTGCAGGCTTCAATACCCCTGTTGGGATTTTCATGGATGATCCTGGGGAGGGTGGCTTGGCCATTCTGAAACACCTTCTCCTGGTAGAGGTGGCCCAATCCCCCACCCCGAAACTCTATCTCTACCCTCCTCTCTCCCCTCCCCTCCATCCCTTGCCAACCTCCATCCCTCCCCTCAGCTCCATCCCTCCCCTCCCCTCCATCCCCACTGTCACCTCCATTCC